TTAAATAACCACGACACGTATCATCGTGTCCACTTTCGTTACTCGTCTACCCCAACCTTACCCCGTACCGTTTCTTCGTACGAGAGACATCCTCCTCCTCTCTCTCTCTCTCTCTCTCTCGCACAGAAGCTGATGAAAACCTTCTCTCTCTCGCACAGAAGCTGATGAAAACCTTCTCTCTCTCGCACAGAAGCTGATGAAAACCTTCTCTCTCTCGCACAGAAGCTGATGAAAACCTTCTGGGATTGTAATTTTCTCTTTCGCCGAGATTTTGAGGAAGATCACCATGAACCACCGGAGTGCTATACACCACTAGAATCTCCACCATTCGTTCTCACTGTACACGGTGAGAGAGTCACTAGAATATCCACCATTCGTTCCTTGTTTCACACGGTGAAGCTGACCCTTCACGAGAATTTGATTCTTAATTTAAAATTTCAGAAAGGATCTGGAACGAGCGTATTGATAAAAACTTAAAAGGGTGCGGTTTATATAGGGCCGAGGCTCTAGATTATCAAAGTAAAGTGCACCTTCAAATAGTATCAAAAAATATGGTTTCAATACTAGAAATCTTTATGACAGTCTTAAGATTTATTGTCATCTTTAATTATAAAATTTAAAGCTTCAAAAATAATGTAGATCGAGTAAATTTATGAAAACTTAAAAATCTTGAAAATTGACGATCTAAAACTGCGTTACAAGATGGACTATTTCAAAAACTTGAAATCCATTTTTTTTCTCATGTCCATGCATCTTGATGTCGAGATGATCAATTTGAGATAATTGGGCAACAAAACAACCTTTTCTAGAAAATATTTTTATGTGCGCTCTAATTTAATTGTTTAGAGCCTTAGCTCTAGATAAACTTTTTCCAATACTTAAAATTCTTTAACATAGACGCTTACTTGTTGCAAGATATATTGTTTTTAGGATTTAAAATTCTTTTGTTTCTTTATGTGCATATACCTCGGGGCCGCATTTCTACATGTGCAGGGTTAGCCGCATGCCAACCGCATCCTTTTATTAAACCTTCTCATCTTAACTTTGGGTGGTGACCCAAGTCCTAAAATTGTTGTTTATCCAATTCCATTTGGACTTACATAATCAGGTATATTTCTTTGGTTTTTTCGTCAAAAGGACAGAATGTAGGTTTCTCGATTGTTTTTTTTTGTATTTCTTTTTTTGGATTGCCTTAAGGATGTAGGTTTCTGAGTTGGTAGTCAAAATAAAAGCAATTAATCTATGTTAACGAAACAAAATTTTAAGATCAAGGCTTAAATTTGGACACTGAAAAACTGAATCAGCTAAAAAATGGTTTGTCTACCATACAATGTCATGCTTGCCCTCTATGGCTTCCAACTACAAAGGTTATTGTAAAATATCGAATATACCCTTTGGCGGTCGTGGTTGTCACATAATTTCAAGTTTGGCCTCCATTGTAGAAGGGCAATTGGATTGCATTCATACAAGAGAGTAAGAGAGTGTTCGTTGATAGCAGGATATTTGCTTCCTCAAGGTAGTGTTGCACATGAAAATGCTATGCCATTTGGGTATAATGGATCACAAGGTTATGTGAATATGAATGTTGTAGTCTTTTGGATATAGATAAGGGGATATTCAAACACACTCATATGCACATATTTAACAAAGCTCCTATCGTACTTGTTTCACAACATGACCCATGTTAGGAGCCCATGCATTGGACAAAATCTTAGACAATTTGCATCTAATAGAAAAATATCTGAAAGGGACCTGGTCCTAGCAAATCTCGTTCCGCGCACTCAAGTCCAAACCCAAGGGACCCAGTCCTAGAGAATCTAGTTCCACGCACTCCACTCAAGTCCGAGCCGATTTATATTATTGCCCGTGCAAACAAATAAAATTTACACTCAACCCTAAAACCAGCATTTCAAAACTTAACAATATGGATAGAGAATCGTCAATCTGGATAAAAAATGGATCAAATTAGTTTCGAGAAGACATCAGTGCCGGCTTGATCCCTTCTCAAATCGTCCTTCTCATAGTTTTTCCTTTTGTTTCTTTTTTAATTTTGTCTAATGTATTCTTGGATCCCATAAATCCCCCATATAAGCCCCAATTTAATTTTAATTTGAAAAATTATTTCATACAAACTGAACCGCATTTCTACAATATACAGTCTAGACTTAAAAAGCATCCATCTTAAAGATGGATACAAATAGATGGTCCATATAAAAACAAGTGCAACTAATGATCCAAATGTTTTCTTAATACAAGTATTATTTTTAGTTTTTATTTTTATTTTTTTTTCATATTCATGATCTCCATGTTAAAGATTATATATGATCTAAAAATTAAGATCAAATTATATTCATTGTCAAGCCCGCATTTCTACAATATGCGGGCTGGTCGCATGAAACCTTCTCCTTTAAATTTTTAAATAATTTTCATAATCGCCGATTCAGGCTCTAGATTTGCGATCCCACATGGATCTATGGTTCGGACGATCCACCCATCGATGCGGCCTTCGAACCACAGTCAAATACAATACATGATCGGAGAAAACCGACATCACAAGCAAAAGCCTCGGTAGCTGGTGTCCAACAAGCAAAGGTAGTTCAAACTTCAAACACCATGTACAAATAATAGATTACTCCCTCCATTGAAGAATGAAAGGTGGGTCCAACTGATTAAACTTAACTACAACACTGCATTTAAGAAGGGTAAAAGTAGCCGTTACAAGAAATTCATTTAAGGCAATAAAATGGCATTTTTTTAAGAGCTTCAATGTCTACGAGTTGAAGTTACAATCCCCATAACCTGCAAAACAAGAGGAAAGTAAAAGTTGGTTAGAAAGATATCAAAATGACATTGAAAATATATAAAAGAAAAGCAGGTAAACTATATTAAGTTGAAGAATTTCAAGATTTTCTGAAATTTACAGATCGATGAACAAGGCCTCAAAATTGGATCGTGAAAAGGTATCAATTAATTGTCGAGACCGAAATTGCTCTCAGCTGTCGATCCCAGTTCGAAATTCTTGTGAACGCCGGGATCAATTAATTTTCTCAAGCACGACCAGGAGAGAATGCAATAAATCTTTTTTTGAGAAAATAGAGAATGTAATCAATCATGGATGACGGAAAAAACCAAAACATGAACAAAAGAGTAAAAGACCAATGCAATGAAGGTTAGAAACAGATATCAGGAAACCAACAGGACACTTACTAGGGTTTGATGATGTGAGAACTCCAGTTTGAGCAAAATCACAATTGAAATCGTTGCGACCAGCAAACTGATAGTAAGCATTCATCGCATATGCGGCATGCGACTGCAATGTATCAGGGAGGTAGCATGCACCCCCTGCCTGAATTGGGGTGCAATCAACACCTTGACTGCACACATAGTCGATGTTTGCTTGGAGCTTCACATCTTCCACTTCTGGCTTTGGCACGCACCAAAGCTTTTCCGATGGGGCACCGGGTGCTGGGTTTTCTGGTGCCGGAGAAGGAAGTTGCGGAGCTGGATTCACAGGTGACGGGTTTGTGGGTGCAGGGGTGACAGGTGAAGGGTTAGCAGGCGTTGGAGCTCCAGACTGCATAACAGAGCATGGGAATTCAGAAAAATGGAAGAAAAAATAGTGGTAGTAGTTGGATAACTACCAAAATACACTTTAACAAATAGCGTCTGATACTAACCTAAATAACTACAAATGCACTTGTGTATGACATCCATGAATTTTGCAGTTCAAAAGAAAAGAAAGAACAGCAGATCTCATAATTCGCGAAACTAAAATGACAGTCTAAAATTCAAACACAACAACCCCCAAGCACCAAACGACCGAAAAGGTAACCAAAACCCACCAGAAATCAAATGGAAAACCACTCTTACCTGGCCTTTCATGACCCCCACATCATAAACTGGTGTCAGATCCGCCTTAAAAAGACCGAAATTCCTCTCAGCTGTCGATCCCGGCTTCAAGTTCTCATTGAACAGTGAGAAAATATATGTCTCAAACTTCTTCCGGGGCATCATCGGTGTCCCGACCCATGAGGACACATGACGTATCAGGTTCCCATTATATGACACTGCATTCGCCATATTTACAGCAGGCTCATTAGGGTCCCCAATAGAAGGCCATCCCGTCTCCGCCACTACCATATCGACATCATCAAACCCTAATTTCTTTGCGGCCGAATAAATAGCGTCCATTTGAGCATCAAACATGTTTGTGTAATTCTTACCAGTAACAGGGTCAAATTTACCTGGATTTGGCTTGAAAAGTGCATAATCCAATGTATCAGGCTTAAACCCAAAATAGGGGTAGGGATTAATGAACAATGGTGAGCGAGTTTCTCTGTGAAAGGCCAAAATTGGAGCAATGACGACGTGATCATACCCCTTCCGAAACTGACCCGATGATGGTGGCTCCGACGCCCTGAGTATTCCTAATGAATGTGGACTTGAAACGTAAATGCTCGAAGAAAGGTTTCGATTAACGAGGGCGGTGTGCAGCGAACGCATCGCAGGCAAGAGATGAGCGATAAGATTTTTGTCACTGGTGGCGAGGACCTCATTGCCCACAGAGATGGCAATGATTTTGGTGGCGGGGACAAAGGGCAGGACATGGTCAGCGACCCATTGGGCTGCTGCAGGAGCCTTCGAGAGGGGAACGATCTCGTCATTCGCAGCAGAGATGACGACCGAGATGCCCGTGTTGGCAAAGGCCTGCAGGATGGCGGGGTCAGCACCAAAGAGCTTGATGCGGTCAATGTATGTTTGCGTCTTGAGGAAGGTGGCCACTTGTGCGGGCGGGGGGAGGTTGTCTGCAAGGGTGCCATAGTTTACGCCGATGCTCGATGCCTTCAGGCCTGTGACATTTAGAGAGAGAAAATAAGAAGTTAATGGAGTTTTGGGGAGAAAAAAGATGCAAAAGCCTAGTCTTTTCGAGAAATTAGCAAACAGTAGATGAAAGAGGAAGTGGAAGTAGGAAAAGAGACTTCACGGCAGAGGGGGGGGAGATTTGAAATTTTTACAGAAGCAATAAGGCCAGAGTAGATTTCTAGAGAGTTTTAGAGAGAGAAATATCAGAAACGTTTCGAGAGAGTAGTATATTTATCCAAGGTTGGAAGAATGGATGTTTAATATAGAGTCTAGAGAGAGAAAATCGGTTCTCCATTGTTAGAGAAGCAGAAAGGGAGAGAGAAAAATGCAGGGAATAAATGGAGAAAAAGCAAGCCAGATGTTTAGGGACACAAACTTGGTTCCTAAAGATTTTAATGAACAATACAGCAAGAGAGAGGGGATTTACAGAGATTGTAGAGACAGAAATCTCCCCAAGATTGAGATAATGCAGAGAGAGAAGAAACAAAATCCATAGAAGAAAAATACCAGTCATAGGAAAAATAAAAAAAAAGGAAAGGAAATGAAACAGAGAAGTTTAGAGAGAGAAAGTAGACAGAAGCAAAACAAAAAGGGGGCTGAACAGATTAAAAAACAAAAATTGTTCCTTGGAGTTGAGCCTTGAGAACTTAAAAATAAAAACAGCGGCTTTATACAAAATAAAAAGTGCAGAGAGAGAAACTCAGTTTCTTGACGCTAATGGAAGCATGAAATAGAGAGAGAGAGAGAGAGGAATTGAGAACAACCAGCATCAGAGAAACTAGAGAGACAAACTCAGTTTTGCTAAACTGAGAGGAACTGTAAGAGAGAGGTAGAGTGGATACCTAAAGAGAGAATGATGCAGAAGTAACTGATGAGACTGGTTAGAGGAGGCTGTAGTCGTACATCCGCCATGAGAGCAGCTCAGGAGCCTGTGTATTAGAAAGAAAATCTGAGATCTGGAGCCTCTAAATATAAAAAAATGTGGCTACTGCATACCAGGTGCAAAATTTTGGGCGCATGAATGAACGTCTTTAGAAAGAGAAGAGGAGTGAGCGTAAAATGCCACTGCTATGGAAGGTATTTTCAAAAATACCTCCACTGTCTTTGAAATATTGCCCGCTTAAATCAAATTAATCACCTTTATTTGTCGTATTGATCAGGGAAACGTTTCTATACTTTCTTTTCAGCATAGAAGTTCTATCTTTCATTTATTATCTAGCCGTTCAATTTTGATCAAAGGTCACTTTTCGTTTGGTCTTAGATTCAATATTTTAAAGTATTTTATTCTAACTTTTTTTATACAAATTGTATGAATATAAAATTTGGTGCAGGCCATCTTTTCATTGGAGCGTACTTATAAAAGATATTAAAAATAATTTTTTTATAAAATATAATAATCAAAATACTTTTTAAAATTTTCGAAGGTATATTAGTCATTTTATTTCATTGAAATTTATTTTTTTTATATTTTTTGCTAGTGCGAGTTTAATAGAAGAATGGACGTCCAAAATTTGGTGTCAAAATAGTTTATAGAAAAAAAATTAAAAATAGAAAGGTATAGAGTCGTGGCATCGTGATTGAGGCAATCTTAGCTCTCCATTCAGAATGGACGGTTGGATAAGAAGGAGTATATAAATTATATATTATAAGGGAAGCATAGAAAGCTTGCTTGATTGATTAATCATGTTAACATTAAAAAAAAAAAAAAAGATTAATCATGTTTATGGATTTAAAAATAGCTTGCTCACCTATTGTTGTGTCCCCTTAATTGCCTATTTATATTTTAAAAAACAAAATAGATGGTGGAGAAATTTCTTTTAAAAATACTAGTTTTTTTAATAAATAAAATCGGATATTGATGATCATTCTCGAGATTGAGATTAAAAAACCTTAAAATTTTAGATTAAAAATCTATGTTTAACTGTACATTTTAATGAGAAATGGTTCGATAGGGTTGTAGTCTTATCAAAATAAGTAAAGCCTTAATTCATAACTCATCAAAATACAATTCAAGCATTAAAAAACTTTTATATCGATCATTTTGGCTTAGAATATTAATTGTAAAATAAAAAATAATGTTTTTTTTTTAAATATGTATACTTTAATAAATTATTTAAACAGTCTATTTCACTTTAAAATTAAGTATTCATATATCAACAAGATTTGTACCATTCTTTAATTTCAAATTTATTATTTGAAAATTAATTTGGATTCATCATGGACATTTTTAAAAGACAAAAGTGCTTTCGAGACAAAGATTTGAAGTGAGATTTTATTTTTGTTTCCATAAAGCGCTTGCCTTATTGAATATCCCTGCATATAAATAGGTAAGTCCGCTGACTCACCGAATACTTTTCCACAGATAACTTCATAGATTTCCCTCAACCGCACGATAAGACGCGGGGAATCAATCCAGTGATTCTAATTTGATTGTCTCTCACTACAAAGCCGTCCCTTTCAGTTTAGCGTTCCTTGTCTGGGAGCACCACGTGTATACCAACGTCATTTATTTTTTAGAGAGAGAAAGTCCGTCTAGTTTTAGAGAGAGAAAAGCTTATTCTGAGGATGCCTTGGCCTTTTTTATAGGGAATGCAGAGAGACGTGCAGTAATGGGTTTGGACTTTGGACTCTGCCGATTCCCACCCTTACGTCTCTTGTCAAACTTCGAATAGCTCCGATTACTACGCCGTGACGCGTCTTACCTCTTTTGCATTGACGGTTGATGCTGAGTTCATGGACGGCTCCGATCGATGAAATGGGTTGGGCGTCTTTTCATTTTATTTATTTTTTATTTTTTAATTAAATAAAAAAGCCCAACCCCTTGAGATTTTTTAAAATAGATTAGAAGTTTGCTTTTTTTGAAAGTATTAGTTAGGTTGTGATAGCGGTGGGGATGGAAACCACATCACCATGACTAGTGTCTATCACCACGGCGTAAACCCGTTCTTAGGGTTAGGCTTTCTTTAGCTGTGGCTTGTGGGTACATGTACTTTAGGACCTGGTTTCGGCCAAGCTCATATACGTAGAAATGTGGGTTTATTAATAAATTTATTTTTTTAACGGATTTTTAAAAATAAAAATAAATAAATAAAATTTAAAAATTATAAATAAAGGTTGATGTTTTACACTTTTGGACTGCATATATAATCATACGGGTCCAACGTGCATCAAATAATTTTCCTCGATTTTATGGTGGTGTGTTGGCCTCTCAAAGAAAATTGGGGTTCCTAGGCAAAGGTATAAAAAACGGTTAAGTTAAATTGTCCGTGTGTGTTAATTGGTCTAAGTAAAATTTGAATTTGATTGAAAATGAGAAAATTAAAAGGATGAGGTTTTTTTAAGGCTTAGGATTTATAGAAATAAAATAAAATAACACTTCAAATCCTTGTTCGAAAAGTACTTTTGAAAATATGTGACTTTAAAATCAATTTCCAATACCAACAAAAAAAATTGAAACTAAAAATTTGATGTAGATTTTTTGGATACATGAACATTTATTTTTAGGACGAAATGAAAAGTACAGATAATTTGTTACAATATATATTATTTTTAGAGCTTAAAATCCTGTTTTTTTGGCAACCATAATGTCCAAGTGGAGATGATTCCTTTTAGAAGTTTTTTCAATGCTTGACTTGCAATTTTTGATGTGTTAGGAAGTGACATTTACTTTTATTTTGATGGAGCTACAGCCCAATCAAATTATTTTTCAAATTAAAATGGGAAATGTTAACACAGGCTGCAGTCCACTCTGTCAATTAATTTGGACGGTCGATATTTTTCCATGAGTGAATTAGAGAATTCGGGGGACCCAAAGCCCCGGTTACCGCTGTGTTTTACAATTTTATTTTTATTTTTCTCTTAAAAACTTTCTACCCTCTTACTGAATAGCTCTCCCTCTAAATTTCCTCTATGGTTCTCTCTGCCCCTTTAACTCCCTCTCTGAACTCCTTGAAAAAATAAGAAGATTCATTTGCAACTAATTATTTAGTATTCTTATTTTCTCTCTCCTCTGCCTACCTACTTTTCCATCTCCATACCTCTCTCTCATTCTCTCTTCCACCTGCCCAGCTTTGGCTGTAATCATGGGTTTGTTTCTCTTTTCACAGTGTTTTCAGTAGCCCCTGCAGCAGAAGGGAGACCATCGGATCTGTTGAGCTCTTGTACCTACAGAGGGGGAGAGATCAGACAATAGCCTTGAAGTTTTTTACAGTCTCTATCCCCTCAATGCATGAGCTTGCAGTAGAAATACACCGTCAAGGATGCAAATAACTTCAGCTCGAAACCACTTTTTCTTTGTTACTTCCTGCATGTGACATTACAATTATGGAAAGAGAATTTCAATACCTCTCAAAAATACGATATGTTTCTCTCATAAAGAATTAAATAGTTGACAGGATTCTATAAATTGCAAGTCTCTCTATAGCTCATAACTCACTGAGAATTTGAAAATCTCTAGCGGGTCACTGCTTTTCACCCACCCAAAACCTCTATATTGTGGCCTGTGGGTCACTTCTTTTCACCCACCCATCTGCCATCACCACCATTGTTGGAATTTGGTATTTTGAGCTGGGACCTTTTTCTGGGTCCAAGGGAATCGGAATATCCCAAGGGAGATAAGTTAAGAGAGAAGGGAAGGGGCAAAGGCCGTTTTGAAAATGACAAAAGGGTTCCCGGCTTTTCAGGTTTTTTTGTTGGGTCGTGTGTAAAATATGCGCGTCCGTTTATATGACCAATGTAGAAATCTGCAGCCCAACTCCAATAAATAAGGCGCCATCCAATTAAAATTTTGGACTAATCTAACTTGTTAGACATGGTTTGGACGTTTTTTGGAAATTTTTTATGTAAAACTTTAATTTTTCATATTATTTCATCATAGGCTCTTTTTCCGTTTTTCTTTTAAACAGTATAAATAAACTTTTAAATATTTCACCACACCCCCTCGTCTCTTATCTCTTTTTTTTTCATCTCTTATCTCATTTTTTTATTGACTTTGATAATAAAAATTAAGCCCAAAAAGTATTTTTATATCATTTTAACCCAAAAACTTTTTTAATGGGTGGAAAAGAAGAAAGAGAATTAAAAAAAAAATTAAGTTTAAATAGTATAAAAAGATTTATTACGGCTAATTTTTATAGTCAAAATCAAGAGAGATAAGAGATGAGGGGTATGGCTGAAATATTTTTAAAAAAAATTGTATCATTTCAAATAAAAGCAGATGAAGATCTACCATGAAATAATATCAAGAAATAGGATTCTATATGAAAATTTTTCACCTTTTTTTGCGAAGTTTTTTATATTTTAAACTAGTATTATTATTTAAAAAATAATCAATCTAATTAGTTAACTGTCAATCGAAATGCTTTTGACTAACTAGACCTCACATCGATTTAATGGCCTATCCGGATAATATTGTTTCCAAGTTTAAACGTAGTGTCTATCATGAGAACTGACTACAATATACTACACTTCGCGTTAGCCATTCTCGCCCACATGTGACAACGGAAGTTGACATGACCTGTTCTTGTACGTACAGTAAACAACTCATTTTTACCTCGTTTCTTATTTTAAATCCTTGAAATTCATAAATTTTTAAATTGAAAAGAGCAATGGCGCACCGCACCTTTTATCCTTATCAAAATTGCAAAAGCCCTTCCCACAACATTCTTTTACAACCGTCCTTCCGTTTAATTTTTTTATCGCAAAGTTTATTTCAAAACTAATTTTTATAGCAAATACCTTTAAACTAAAAAGTCATAATTTGAAAGATAAAAATACCTTTATCCGTACATGAACGGACCACATTTATGTAGATGTTACTGCCGAACCGGAACCCATACCACATTAACTGTCGAGCAACAATTTGCCATACCGCATACAACTTATGTTGGACCAAAAAAACTGTCGGACCGCAACAACAATATGTTGGACCCCATTTACAAGTGCCAGGCTGGGGCATCATAATTGCCGAACCACAACAACAATCTGCCCCACCACATTTATAAGTGTTGGACCGACGATATTTAACAACTAAAGGAAGGGTATTTTG